CCCTGAACTCACTTTGAAGCCTAGGCCAGCCTTGAACTCAAGGTAATCCTCCTACCTTAGCCACCCAAGTGCTGGGATTACAGGCGCCATGCCTGGCTTACTGTATTCATTTTTAATGTGTGCTTTGAAAATCTGGCAAAGTGTATCTTTTAAAACCATTTAATGTAATAGGGCAGAAAATTTAGCAAAATTTAAACATTTTAGCTTCTGAGATCAGGTGTGTTCAGGATGGTATGGCTATAGACTAAACATTTTAAAAAGAAAAGCTTGGTAATTTTTTTGTAGTTTCCGGTAGAAACTTTTTTACTTACCAATTTCACTTTTTCTTACGGAAATGATAGTAGGTATGCTCCCTTTGAAAGGAAATGCCTTTTAACCTATGCATGGATTTTATTGGTTGTGTCTTTTTGGTAACTCACATTCTTGTTACTTAGAGAAGTATCTCTATGAGGCCATTTTTTTTCTTGTTACTTAGAGAAGTATCTCTATGAGGCCATTTTTTTTTTCCTCCACAGGTGTTTAACAAGGAACGGGTTTTTTGAGACCTTTGGGCTTTGAGTTTTAATTTTTTAAAAAACTCCTAAAATAATAAGAAAATCAGTTATGTGTCAGACCCTCTGCACATACTCAGTAGGATGGACTTGGAAGTCTGGTTGACTGACATTGACTATAGACTGCAGTACATTGAATTGAGTTTTGAAAGCAAAGGTTTAGCTAATGTGTTGTTAAAGTTGGAATAAGCTGGAAGCATTTTCTGTAGCACTGCTTCCCCTTACTGTAAGTGGAGGTAATCTGTGGTAGAGATGACTAAGAATTGCTTGACAGAGGGTACTTTTACCTGTGATTATTGGGAACCTGTTTAAATGCAAGCAGGTCTAGTATTAGCAATAACTTTTTTTTCTTTTTTACGGTACTAGGGATTGAGCCTAGGGTTTCACCCATGTTAGGCAAGCCCTCTACCGCTGAGCAACATCCCATCCCTAATTACCCTCGCTGTGAAGCTGGCAAACTGTTCACTGAGGTGGTAAACTGAAGATGTAATTTTTTTTGTCACGGGGAGCCCAGCTCAGAGCCGTGTGCCGCCAAGCCACGCCCCTGGCTCCCTGGAGGGGTAATTCTGTGTATTCCCGCTTGCTCTGTTTCACCCTGGTTTCTGCACATCATCCTAGAGTCCAGATCCGAAATAGGGACTTAGGAGTCCTTGGTAACGTTGTCTTCTATCTGTGCAGAGATGATGTTCTGCAGAGTCTGACTATAGTGCACAACTGTTTAATCGGCTCAGGGAACCTCCTGCCTCCACTGAAAGGAGAGCCAGTCACTAACTTGTAAGTACAAATAACTACTCTACATTTTTACTGTTTTTGTCTGCGTACTTGTTAAGTTTTACCACTTAATAAATTACTGGTATTGGTATTGCTGTCATTTCTGCACACTTTAACCTTTTTATTTATAATTGTTAGGTCAAAAATACTTAAGGCACAGTGAACTTCTTAAAAGGACTTTTTCGGATTTTTATGTTACTTAGCATAACTTCAGATGTTAATCAGTTAAAAAATATCAGTGTGGAGATAATAAATTCATCTGTGAGTTTATTGAATTAAGCCAATATGCTTCTCTAAAAGATAAAAAAATTTCTTTAGCCTACAATGTTTCATTTAAAAAGAATTGTGTTTTTTAGTAAATTTTTAAAAATATTATCCTTTATGAACTTTTTATCTGTCAACTGTTTTATGATTTTAATTGCTTTTCCACATATTTATTTACTTATTTATTTATTTATTTTTGGTCTTTTTGAGACAGAGCTTTGCCATACAGTTCAGGCTGGCCTTGAGCTCACTTTTTAGCCCAGGCTGGCCTCGAATGCACAGCAGTTCTCCTGCCTCAGCCTCCCAAGTGCAGGGATTACAGGCGTGCACCACCACGCCTGGCTTCCACATATTATTTTGAATGAATGTCTCAGTTTGACCCATTGTTAATACTGCTATTTAAGATGAACAGATTGAGATAGAGTGAAACCAGCAGTGTGTAATACGCACTTAACGATAAGTGGACAGGTGTTGGCTGCAACTGTTTCTCCCAGCGTTTCTTCATGCTAAGAAGTCAGTGAACACCAAAAAGGTAAATAACTCATAGCCCCTTCAGGAACAAAAAAATAGAAAATTATTTGCTGATTTTGTAACAAAACATCTTTAATAGCTTCAAAGAACAGTTTTTAAGTGGCTTGATTTTCTTGTAGCCATTGTTGAGGGCCATGATTCTGACTTCCGTAGTTATATCCACTCCCACAGTACTACTTACTTCATTCTAAAGCTGTTTCTACACATTGAACGCTTCAAGGCTTATTAATTAGGTATAAGAAGTAGTAGAGTCATTGTAGGTAAGAAAAATCTGTTGTAGAAGTTTGCCTAGGAATTTACTGAATTATTTTAAAAGAACATTTGTTTCCTCAGTTTGTAGGGGGTATAAGAGCAATTTTACCAAAAATTAGTTTTTGTTAAGAGAGATTGATTTAAACAGTTTTTTGTTTTTTGGTTTTTTTTTTGAAATACCGGGAATCAAACTCAGGACCTCAAACTTTGCCAGGCAGGTGCTGTGCCGCTGAGCTATATCCCGGGCCCCTTAAACAGTATTTTAAAATGTGAAGACTACAGTAGTTTTCCTGATTCTTCCCCTCCCCCGAGTGGTCTTTACTCCGTGTCACTTAGTCAGAGCTTACTCCTCTCATGAAGCGCCGCAAGCTGTGTCCTACCTGCGTCTAGCGGATCTGTGTAAGTGTTGGCAGTGACAGTGGCGGTCACCTACTCGAAGAGCAGAAAGCGCGCATCTCCGCGTTAGGGAAGCCTCAGCATCAGGTGATAACTGTGAGGCTCACAGATCTCCGTGGCAATTCACGTGCTCTGCAGTAGTGAATGAAGAAAAAGTATTTATCCATTGACGTAAATATTCATGATAAAAGTTCATATATTCAGTTATCATAAAAACAACTATTTTTGTATGATACACATTTTCAATAAGGAAAAGAATAAAAAATTTTGAATGCTATATAGTTAAACAGTTTAGCTTACAATAAATTATAAGCTATAAAATTGATACTAGGTATTTCTTAGTTTTCCTGGAAAAGATGAAAAGCAAAGATAAATTTAAACTGACAAGTTTTATGTTCTAGAATTTTCCATTTAGAGTAAAAAGTTAATACAATAAAGCATAATGACGTTATATAAAACACGTTCAATGACAAACATGTTTATATATAGAATAAAAGAAATATTTCTAAGAATAATATAGAAAAATGTTTAGTTTTTTAAAATTGTTATTTTTAGGGTTCTTCATAGATATGTACATTTATGCAGTATAGTAATTACATAAAGTAGAACTAAAAATAAAATGGTGTTTTCACAGAAGGTAAATTCTCAAAAGTATCAAAATAATAGATTTTATATTCATTTAATTTTATGTTTTGGGGTAATACTGGGTATTGAACCCAGAAGGACCTTGCGCTGAGCTACATTTCCAGCCCTTTAATTTTTTATTTTTCTATTTTTTTAATTTTGAGGCAGGGTCTTACTAAGTTGCCTGGGTTAGGCTTTAATTTGAGATTCTCCTGTCTAAGCCTCCCAGTGTGCTCCCAGATGATTTCTACAATGCTTAATGAGATACATTTTAGTACTTGTCAAAAGTCCTCTGAGTATAAGTTGATACGAAGTCACACGGCGCATTGTGAAGAAAGAGTTTCTGTGGCACACAGTTCACAGAAATTCTCAGCAGGTCAATTTGAAGCTGGGGTAGGAAAAGAACACTGACTGAAGACATTAGTTCTCCATAGGAAACAGGAAAATATACCAGAGGGAAGGAGAAGAATGTGTAATTGTGATACGTTGTGGTGCTGCTTTAATGTAATGCTTCATTGTACCTTTGGCAATACTTCCTGACTAACAACAATTTGGCTGTGAAATTATGAGACATCGTTCATTTTCTGAAATACCAGATCAGTTTGGGGAAGTACCTAGCAACTCAGTTTTTTAAAAACTGCCTTAATTATGTAAACTATTCTAGCTTCTGTAATTATTTTCAGCCAGATTGCTCAGTATAAAGATTGCGTTTTGTATGTATTGGAATACAGTATGTGTCTTCTGGACAATCGTGGTGCTAAAAAGCTAGGAGCTTACTTTATGTGTGAGTTTTCCTGTAAGAATCTAGGGTATATGGGATGGTCTTAATCTCGTTGTAAGGGAAATGGCTCCTGAACGTGAAAACCTATTTTCTGTGCTGTGTAATGAGAGACTGACAAAAAAAAAATAAACAGCTAAACCCTAAGTTTAAAACTAAACGTAATTAGTGGTACCCTCCTACTTGGGGGCCTTTAGCAGTATAGAGTTACTAAGTACCCGTACTTACTGTAAACCGCGGTGTCACGCAGTGGGGCCTGGAGGGTAATTAAGGGTAATATATTTTTAGCTCAGAACAACTTAAAACTGTTTGAATGTTTACCAGTTTGTTAACTATAAACTGAAACTTAAAATGGAATCTCCCTATTTTGCTCTTGGAACCTTTAATGTTTTAAGAGAAATATTAGTGCTATAACTTATACTCATAGCACTACCTTCATAGATGTAGATATAGAAGCTGGATTGCATCTTCTCAGGGTCGCATAAGAATTTTGGGCTCTTGCCTTTAATCCTGAAATTGTCAATTTTTCCTTTACAATCCACTCTCTATTATAATCTTCTAGGTTTAACCAGCTATCAGAAGATGCAAAACCGAACCAAAATTTAAAAAAAACCTAACATCTTAAAACAGGGTTACTCAAGGTAGAGGAGTCACCACGTTCATCTCAGACGACTTCTGTGTGCTCCTTTTGTCTGATATCTGCTAAGTCATTCTTAGGGTCTCAGCTTTTACTAACTTTTCACTCAGAAAAGAACGCTCTTCAGGTCTGAGAGTGAGACCGTGTCACTGGTGTGTGAAAGGATGTGTTGCTCACGCACTGAGGGCAGGGCGAGCTCACCTCTCTTGGCACCTCCAGGGCACTACCCAGCTCTGCTGGGGGAGCTGCACACAGGCAAGGAGGCGGCTGCTACCCCACGGTGAGTAACCCTGTCTTCTCCTTACTTCACCTTGCTTTCGGTGGTTCTTTAAAGCTTTGTGTGTCGCATACGAGTGACGTGACCTCTAGTGCGGTGTGTGTGGAGTGTCCCTTTGTCAGCAGCCCTCTGTTCACAGGTGGAGTAAGAGCCAGACTTCCGTTGTTTATGTACCTGGTATTGATGCCTGGGGTTGGATTGCTAACACTGCACGGAAGCAGGGCAGCTGTCCTGTGTGTTCAGCTGGGAGGGGGTCTATCAGTGGCTTGACTTTTGTGTCTTCCACGTACCTTCTCCTGTGGGAAGGGGAAGATTAAGAAAGATAGGGTGTTCTTTTTCTTACACTACACAGGAAGAATTTTATATTACTGTTTGTAGTTTCATGAAAATTCACCTACTCATTTACGTATTTTACTTATACTGTGTATTTTGCTTTTGTTATTAGTCATTTTTTCTCTTTCCCACCTGTGATTTATTTTATAGTTCTCTAATCAAACTTTAAGAATATTGCCATCTAGTGGTACAAATAACCTAGTGTTGGAAAATTCATGTCTTTTTGGTGGTACAAATATGTTAACACACTTTGTAGTAAATTAGGCCAGGCACTATCTGGGAGTTATGAAGCTCGTTATTATTGTGTTGATGGTATTAATTCACAATATGCTGTGTTATAGAATTATAGTGTTTAGTTCTTAGGGTTAAGGGACTAATAAATGGTTAGAGTTGAATTTGAAAGCAGAGTATGTGTGTGTGAGTGATGCTATTTGCCTTAAATTATAGGTATTGGTTCCATAGCTTTTAATCAGAAAATCTGTATGTGTTGATAGCACCTTAAGTCTATTCATCTAAAATTGTTTACACAACTGAAAATTACAAGGAACAGTTCTCATTTTGTCATGGTTTGTTTCTGCACTGCTGGGGACTGAAGCCAGGGCTTGCACGTGCGAGGTAGGCATGCTGCGGCTGAGCTGCCTCCCTAGCTCACGAGCGGCTTGTAATGTGAGGACAGGGTAGGCACACGCAGACCTGTCGGGTGGCCACGAGAAGAGAGCCTCGTAAACATCTCTTTGGTGATGTAGAGTCCTCTTAGAAAATTATTCACCTAAAAATCAGAAGAAATATTTATAGTTGCTAAAAGAAATTTGTTATATAACATGTCAATCCAATTGGAGTTTAATTAGTGGTAAATAAGAAAAGATTAATCCAGTTATGGCTGTTAGGTAAATATGGATAAAAGGAACTTGTGGGCAACAAAATTAAAGTTTAAGTATAGCTGGGCTTGGTGGCGCACACCTGTAATCCCAGCACTCGGGAGGCTGAGGCTGAGGCAGGAGGATCATTGCAAGTTCAAGGCCAGCCTGGGCTACAAAGTGTGCTCAAGGTCAGGCTGAGCTGCACAGCGAGACCCTGTCTCAAAAAAAGAAAAAGGCAAAAAGAAAAAAAGCTGAAATACATAACTACATACTTTGTGGAAGATGTATTTTAATTCAGGTCTTAAGATTGTAAAAGGACAAGCCATTTTATTTGAATATATTGATTTTTTTTCTTTAAAGAGAGTAGTACATGAGACACAAACAAACAAAAAAATAGAACAGTAGCAGCATACCAGTATCATGAACATAAACAAATCAAAGCAGGAGCGTTCAAAGTGATACAGGGTACTTCCTATTTTAAAATCTCCTACAAGTTGATATTTCAAAAATGGAATAAAGGATAATAGTTGCTCAAATGTTCTGCTAACAAAGCTATTCAGAGTAAAATTGGGGTTTAAGAAATTTATATTGGTAGCTGGGCATGGTGGCGCACAATCCTAGCATTCAGGAGGCTGAGGCAGGAGGATCGCTGGGAGTTGGAGACTAGCCTGGGCTGCAAAATGAGCTCAAGGCTAGCCTGACCTGCATAGCGAGACCCTGTCTCAAAAAGACCAAAAAAAAAAAAAGAAAGAGAAGAGAAGAAATTAGTGTTGGGCCTCTTAAGATGAGGCTTGTTCTTAACTGTGATTACATCATGTTGGTGTTACTAGAGCCAGAAATGCATACAACAGACAACTGCTTTGATACAGTGCAAGTTGTGAGGAGCGGTTCACTTACGAGAAGACTGCTTTTCAACCTTACTTGTAAGAGGAGTGTGACTAAAATTCATGCTTGATTCAGCATTTCATTGTGCTAGGTACTGACGGGTAAAGCTACAGTTGTATCTCTGCTTTAGAAACTACTTATGCTAAAGGCAGCTGTGTTTCTGCTTTAGAGAAGTACTTCCATTGTAGCAGCAGCGGAGAGGCCTTTATTTCCACGTGGCAGTTACCGACAAGCACTGGCGGAGCCCCACCAGGGAAGGGCTCCGGCGCCCTCGGTCTGGCTCAGCGTGTTACCTGAGCACAGCTCCTCTCTTCCCATGTGAACTCTAGCGTCATTACAGACTCGAAGGTGATGAGTGAGCTTTGAAGGGAAATAGGGAAAAAGAAACCACTCTGCATTATTCTCTGTAGGTCGGTTTTGAAACTTAAGGCGCTGGGTTATGCTGAAGAACCTGAGTAGCTGACGCTGTAGTAATAATGTTACAGTGTTGTTACTTTTTTAAAGCTAAATATTAGAGTTCATAATAACGGACATTTAAACTTCTTTTGAGGTTTACTGATTTATGAATAGTATCTTCTTCATTATAAGCACCATGCAGTGTATTGATGTCAAGCAATAATAATAACAACAATTTCTGTTTACTGTCTCCGTGTGGGATCTGCTTACCCTCATGTTTCCTTGGCATTGGTGTCTGCTTCCTCCTCATGGAAAGTATTATCTCTTGGTTGAAAAACGTACTGAATTGAATCTCATATTTTAAAAAAGTGCTGAAAACTTAAAGTGGCTTTTTATTGATGAAAATTTATATTTGAGATATATAGATTCTCCTATAACATCTGTTTTTATAATAGTTAAAAGTTGATTTTTAACTTTTGAGTGACTTTAACTAGCTAGGTCTGGTTGTGGCAGTGTATTTCTCTGTGGCAGATCTTTAATTAGGAAATGAAATGTTTTTTCATGTGAATTTCCCTAAAAGGAGTGGTAAGCTTTTAGGAGATACTACTTTCTCTTTTTTCTGTTCTTTTCCTTTTCTTTAGACAGGGTCTCGCTATGTAGTTTCGGCTGGCCTCAAACTCATGGTGATCCTCCTGCCTCAGCCTTTTGAGTGCTGGGATTGCAAGTGTGAGCCACCACACCCAGCTAGGATAGTGATGGTTCCAGAGAAGCTTGTCTGCTTATCTGCTTCAGTAAAACTTGATTTTGAGTTTCAACTTTAATTATACAGTTGTGAAGTTGAATCTTTGTATGAGTGGATAAAGCTTTATCGTTCAAGTAATCCTTTATATTTAAATATTCAAGTATCAGTGTTATGTTCCTTTGGAAGGTGAATTTTCCCTCTGAAGACACAAAATTAACATTTTCTTCAAGGTAATATGATTCTTACTGAAGCACATAATACTAATCTGCAGAAGTATAAAGAGTTGAAGTATTGAGCGGAAATCTGTGTTAAAAGAGCATTATCTTTTTTTAATTGAAATAAAACTTTTCCCTTTGATCTACTGTATTGGTATCGTTGGTATCATTAATAAATGCAAGTCCTCTTGTTTTCATGCAGGGTACCAAGCATGGTGTCCTTGGAGGAGACAAAGTTGTATACCGGCCTTGAATATGGTACGTGAGCTCTGATCTAAGTGAGTCTGTATGTACAGTTTTTCCCCCTTGATTATGTGTCAGGGTTAACATGGAATAATTTTATAGTCTCTTTTTTAGACTTTCGGTACATCAAATTAATCAGTCACACAGTTACATTTTTGTTTGTTTTTGAAGAAACTAGGAAATTATTATGTGCAGAGTAGACAGTAAAAGAGCCAGGCGTGGTGGCACACACCTGTGACCCCAGTGCTCGAGAGGCTGATGCAGGAAGAGTGCAGCAAGTGCAAGGCCAGTCTCAAAGGAAAGAATGGATAGTAAAAGACAAAAATTGAAGCCTGGAATGGTCATGCACACCAGTCATTTCAGGGATGCTGAGGCAGGAGGACTGCCGTGAATTTCAGGCCAGCCTGGGCTACAGAGCAGAATTCAAGGCCAGGCTGCACTACGTAGCAAGACCCTGTCTCAAAACAAACAAAACATAGAAATTGAGTCAGTAAATTCAAACGCTTTCTTCATGCATAGGCAGCCTTTTTCCTACATCATAATGTTCATTTATGTTTAAATTTCTTTTATACACTCGATGGGAATGAGAGTATTACAGCCTTTGTATTGTAATAATAACCTTTGTATCTATCATAATAAGTTACATTTTTTAAGAAGACTGATTTTTGGGGTGGCGTGGCTTGAACCTCATGCCCAGCCTCCCAGAGTTCCAGGTTTACAGGTGTGTGCCACCACAACCAACTTTATTTTGTTTTTTGAGATGGTCTGGGAATGTGGTCCAGACCAGACTTGAACTTGCTGTGTATCCCCGGTTGGCTTGAACTCCTGGTCCTTCAGTCTCAGCTTGCTGAGTGCTGGGGTTACAGGCATACCCTACTGTGCTTAACTTTTATTTGTGTGTGTGAGACTGGGAAGTGAACTCCATTCCACACATGCTCGCTAGGCAGGCGCTGTGCCGATGAACTATACCTTTATCTCTTAAACAAGTAGTGATACTTTGGAAACGGCTGGAGGTGTGGCCCTGGGTCGGTAGACTGTCTGCACATGGTTCTGGTTCAGTCTCCAGCATACCCAAAAAGTTTTTTTGGTGAAACATTTTTAATGTTCTGAATTTAACATTAGTGGAAGCACAGCGTACTTTCTTACCAGTGTCCTGGAATTGGGTGCATTCGTTAGTTGTTCAGGTACAGTTGTTCGCCTGGTTTGGACTTGCGGCCCGTGGTGATGAGAGCCTTTGGAACGCTGGCGGAGACGGCGTAGGCCCCTGCTGGCGCTCTCGCCTTCCCGCCCTCCCATCAGTGCTCACGTATGCATTCATGTATTTTTTTTGTTGGGGTTTTTTGGGGGAATGGTGCCAGGAATCAAACTCAGGGCCTCATGCTAGGCAAGTGCTACACCCCTGAGCTATATTCTCGGCCTTATTTATTTATTTATGAGCAGGGTCTGGCTCCATAGTTCAGGCTGGATTTGAACTCACCTTGTAGCCTGGGCTGACCTTAAAGTGATCCCTCCTGCCTCACCCGACTGAGTGCTGGGATGATAGGCGTGTGCCACCGTACCTGGTCAGCTAGTTACTTTAAAAGGCAGTGTTTTGAAAGTTACTCAGTATCACGTCTGTCCCCTAGGCCCACTGAGATAGAGGCGTGCCCGTGTGGTCGTGGGTTTTTTTAGACCCATTGTTTTTTTGCCACAGTCCTCTATCTCCTCCTGACACTAATTGTTTGGTGTGAACTTCAGTAACCCAAGAATATTCAGTGTCTAAAATGCCTTCTCTTGTTTTCTACAAAACAGATCTATCCAGAGAGAATCACCGGGAAGCAATTGCTAGGGTCATAAGGAAACTTCTTAGTAAGTATTTATGTAGATTTATCTGTAGTTATTTAGAAATTTTACTGGATAGCATATGTGCTTTCATATAATGTTTTGTGTTCCAGGTGGTGAAAATATTTGGACAGTGTGCTCTTTTTAACTTAATGGATAGATTCAGGTTCTTATATAATAATTTAAAAAAAATTTTTTTGTCTTTTTGAGACAGAGTCTCACTGTGTAGTCTAGACTGGCCTTGAATTCACTTTGTGTCCTAGGCGGGCCTCAAACTCCAAGCAGTTGTCCTGCCTCAGCCTCCCGAGTGCTGGGATTATAGGCATTCACTACCACACACAGAAATTCAAAGTATTTTAACGAAATTGTTTTTTCTTTTCCCTTTGTAGACCACATACTTGATAATTCAGAGGATGATACAAAGTCATTGTTTCTTATCATAAAGGTACAATTGTCATTCTGCAGTTCCATAATTATTAATCTGGTCAGGACTGACTTTGTGACTTACAATTTGATATTCATCGCAGATTATTGGAGACCTTTTGCAATTCCAAGGATCTCACAAGCATGAATTTGACTCCCGATGGAAAAGTTTTAATTTAGTGAAGAAATCAATGGAAAATCGGGTCAGTATTTTCACCAAAAAGTCTGAATTAAGGTTTTTTAAAAGACAGAATAACCTTAACTTGGGGACTGTCATTATACTGAGGAAGTTTACCCATGAGGAAAATGGTAGATGTTGTATTTTGTGTGAGGGCTAAAAAAATGTGTTTCACTTACTAATGCAGAATCGTCACTTTCCGTGATTGTTTCGGAGCTCTTGGGGAATTTGGGCAGCAGCCTTCAGGGTGTCGTTCTTTGTAGTACCGGGACTCAAACTCAGGGCCCGTGCTTGCCAGGCAGGTACTTGTGCCGCTGAGCTGTGTCCCCGGCCCCCAGGATGTCTTCCTATAAGAACTTGAAGAAGAGGGCTGGGGATTTCGCTCAGCGGCACAGCGCCTGCCTGGGAAGCGCAAGGTCGTGAGTTCAATTCCTGGTACCGGAAGAAAAACCAAAAAAAAAAAAAAAAAAAAAAAATGTTTAAGAACTTGAAGAGACGGGAAAAGGAGGGGTGACCTTTGGGCGTGCACTTCATGCTTGACTGAATAGCAGCCAGCACACTGTCCCATAGGTGGATCTGTTAGTAAATTACCAGAGGAAAGCAGGGTGCTGGATGTTCTGCTGTTAGCCATGAACTTCACTGAGAGCATATATTTAGAATATAAGCCTGCTGACTGTAGAAGGCGTGAAACATCACCGTCGTTCACCGGCCCATGTGGAATTCGTGTAACTAAGATTTCGATGAGGGATTTGGGAGTCCATTGTTGAGGTCACTTACGGTGAACGTCGCCGTGTGTGCTGCTTTGTTTTCCAGCTCCATGGGAAAAAGCAGCACATCAGAGCACTGCTGATCGACAGGGTGATGCTGCAGCACGAGGTACCGCCCTCTCACACGTGACGACCTTGTACAGTGACAGTTTTCAGTGAATCTTAATGCAGGTCTTTAATAATCAAGTGAACTTTCAGTAAACTTGCAGCTTTCGTTTACATTGTTTTTTTAGCTGCGAACACTGACTGTTGAGGGTTGTGAGTACAAAAAGATACATCAGGATATGATCAGAGATCTTCTTCGATTGTCTACAAGTTCGTACAGTCAGGTAAGTGTATGCACACATTCTGCCTTCCGCCACACTCTCATGTTAGTATGTGCAGTCCAAACAGCCGTACTTTTACGATGGAGTTTAAACATTTCTTCTCTGGGTCCCACAGCTGGGAAGTAACAAAACGTCAGCTAGACTCTTAACACCCACCTCCAAACTCAAGCTGGCTTCGAATTTTAAATATATTTGAACTTTTTTTAAAAAATAAAAACATTTAATTGTCTTATCTGTATGGTTCTTTTTTTTTTTCTCTCCTCCTTGAGAGTGCTGACAAATCAGATCTTTCTTTTTAAACTGAGTCTCACTATGTAGTTCAGGCTGGCCATGAACTCACTATGTAGCCCAGGCTGGTCTCAAACTCAACAAGGATCCTCTTACCTCAGCCTCCTGGGTGCTGGGATTACAGGTGTGTGCCACCAAGCCGGGCATTAAATCAGACTTTGAAGGCCATGCTTGCAAGGCCATGTCATTCCTCCTGATCATTATCCTGGATTTCAGGGAGCTGCTGCCACGTGACTTTTGGAGTCCGTATTTTAAGGTAGCATAGGACCAAGAGATGATCTCCAAGCACAAAGAACTGGAAAAAAAGAGTCATGTATCACGAGTTGTTGTATCTTTGTAAAGAACTGTAGTATAAATTAGGTAACTGGCTTTTGACTCAGATTCTTTCTAAAGTAATGTTTCTAAAGTAATGTTGAAAGAGTATTAAGATATACCTAATATATGGTTTTTACTGTAATAAATTATCCCCCTATTTAGTTAGTAGGTAATAAATTTATATTGCATCTTTTTGTTTGCGGTCAAAAATGTGTAAGGCTGTAATTAAGGTTTACATCAGAAACGTTTAGTTTTGTTTCTTTTGCTTGAGTTTCCTCTAGGAAGTTTAATTTTTCTTCAAAAAGAGAAAATCTGATTCTTCTTACCAACAGTAGCCAAGAAGAAAATGTTTGATAGATGGCTGCTTGCTTTTAGCTGTTACTAAAAATTGCTGATCAGTTCCATTCATTCTCCCTTTTATCAAAAATATTTGAACCACTGTAACCTAAAGCGTGGACCAGGTTGGTGATCCTCTGCTTTTCTGATAATGATTTGCTCATTTTGAGGGGATATGTGCTTTGATATATTTTTCTCTTAATTTAAATTATCATCACTTTGTGTTTGATAGTTCATTTATAAATCTTCTCTAGTTTGCTGTGTAGTAATCCTTTGCATTTAATACTTCTCTAGGTCAGAAATAAGGCACAGCAAACATTTTTTGCAGCCTTGGGAGCATATAACTTCTGTTGCCGAGATATTATTCCCCTGGTTTTGGAATTCTTACAGCCTGGTAGACAAGGTGTCACACAACAGCAGTTCAAGGTACAGGTTATTGTTTCTGTTTTACTCAAAGCATTTCAGATCTGTAGAAAGTTGGAAGAATTTTGCAATAAACATCCCTATAGCCACTATTCAGATTCTGTATTTAAATTTTGTTATATCTGCTTTATCATACCTCTGCTTACCCATCTTATTTTTACAGTACATTGCAGAGTAAATCAAAGGCACCAGCAATACAAATAGTGCGTTGATTGACTGAGAGTTATTTAGGAGAGAGACTAGGTAGGACCTAGTGAGTGAAAACGAGGGGCCTGCTAAAAGAACACATGGAGGGGCTTGTCCCTTAACTGATGCGTAGATGAGGAAAACGTGGTGTCTATACGCAGTGGAGTACGAAGTTGCCATAGAGAAAGATGTAAGGGGCATTCATAGGAATGGATGCAACTCGGGAACATAAGGTTGATACGGGTAAATCAGCTACAGCTGAGCATGGCCTCTTTGTTTCCCGTATAACTATCTGTGCCCCTCTCCCCGCAGGGCGCCTTGTATTGTCTTCTTGGAAATCACAGCGGCGTGTGCTTGGCAAACCTTCATGACTGGGACTGTATTGTACAGACGTGGCCAGCGATTGTTTCTTCAGGGCTTAGCCAAGCAATGTCGCTAGAAAAGCCATCCATAGTGAGACTGTTTGATGATCTTGCAGAAAAGATTCACAGGCAATATGAAACAATTGGTCTGGACTTCATGGTAACCCATTTTTTCATTCCTATTTTATTGAAAAGACTGTCTTGTTTTAGTACCTTTTATTTTTCATGAAGTTATTCAGTAATCATTTTTCTTGGCCTTTGATTGTAACTCTTGTTTTTTAAGCATTTGTTTTGTTTTTCCATTTGTACTTCTGGGAAAATTACCAACAGGATGGGATGATAAGTTAGCATGTATCTGGGAGAGAGCCAGGTCATTTTCTACCAGGAGATCACAGTAGGTTATTACACTGAATTTACCGTTAATCCATGTGTATTCATAGCTTCATTTTCCAGAGTTGATTATTGTCATAGTTAATTTTTTCATAGCTGAGACAAAATACCTGACACCCAGTTACAGGAGGAAAGGTTTGCAGCTCTCAGTTTAGATGTTTCGGTTCATAATCTGCCGGTTCCAAAGCAGGGTGCCATGGCAGAGGGGCATCACAGAGAAGAAGTCGTCCGTGGCAAGCCCGCAGGAGTCCGCAAGCAGAGCATGTGACAACAGCAGCCCTCTTTCTGTCGCTTTTATTATATTCTCTCCAGGCTGCCCACCCTTGGGTCGGGCAGTATCCACACTCGGGGGAAGGCACCCTCAATGCCAGTGTCACACACTCTCGATCCAGCCACTTCTGAAAATCCCCACCTGTGACTGCTTGAGGCTTTGGAGAAACATCTAGACACAGCCGTAACAATTACCTTCTAGGATTTCAGCCACGTAAGCCAGTCACAAAGGGCTGGTGGGCTGCTGGACTCAGGAAGTGTAGAACGTTAGAGACGGGTGATTTGACAGATGAAAGAGGTAAGAATACGAAGTTCAGTGGTGCCAGATGAACAGACCTAGCAGTCGTTCACTCTTCACTTACAGCCCTCCAGAACGTTAGCGGCGAGAAAAGAAGGGTGAGGGCAGTAGAGTTCGCCTCATCCCTAAAGTGTCTGTGGCATACTTGCCCTGGTTTTAAAACCAGCGCCCTGAATGTATTTCTTTTAAATAAAACATAGTCTTGCTGTTTGCAGCTACCATTACGTTACAGTGCTTTTTTTTAATGTGAAACAATTCACACATCATAAAATCTACCCTTTTAACTTGTACAGTTGTATACCTATATGTTCACAGTGTAGACTCACATAGTTACATAACTGTCGCCACTCTAATTCCAGAAGATTCTCACACCCAGAGAGAAACTTTCTACGTAGCAGCAGTGGCTGTCATTCCCGACACCCCTAAGCAAGAGAAAGCACCAATCTATTTTCTCTCTATGAATTTGCCGGTTAATAGGCATTTCATAGAAACGGAATCATAAAATATGTGGCTTGTGTCTGCCTTATTTTTTCTTTTTCTTTTCTTTTTTCTTCTCTCTTCTCTTTTTGAGACAGGGTTACACTGGTAGTGCAGACTGGCCTTGAATTCATAGCTATCCTCCTGCCTCAGCGTCTCCCAGGTGCTGGGATTACAGGCGTGTGCTGTCATACCTGGCTGTGTCTGCCTTCTTTTACTTAGCTTAACACTTTCAAGGTTTATCCATGTGGTAGTATGTGTCAGAACTCTATATTTTTTTCCTGCTTTTTTTTCCTTTTAATAAGATTCCGGAATCATGTGTTGCAATAGCAGAACTACTTCAACAGTCAAAAAATCCTTCTACCAACCAAACACTGCCTAGCCCAGAAAAAATTAAAGGAGGATTTCAGCGCCAACAAGAAAGGAATGCTGATGCCCTGAGGTAATTGATGATCTGCTAACATAGATGACATTGTAGATAGTAGGTTTTAAATGAAGGTTTAAGTGCACACCTGTAATCCCAGGCCTCAGGAGGCTGAGGCAGGAGGACCCTTGTAAATTCAAGACCAGCCTGGGGTGCAAAGTCAACTCAAGGCCAGCCTGAACTGCATAGCAAGACTCTGTCTCAAAAAGACCAAGAAAGAAAGGAAGGGGAGGGAAGGGAAGGGAAGGGAGAAAAGGAAGGGAAGGGAGGAAGGAAAGGAAGGAAGGAAGGAAGGTAGGTACGTAGGTAGGTAGGTTGGTTGGTTTAGTTTAGATAGAAGATTTTAAGCTGACTTTTTTTTTTTTGGTACCAGGAATGGAATTCTAAGCAGGCAGGTGCTTGTGCCCAGTGAGCTATATCCCCGGCCCAGTAGCTGACTGCTTAATAATATTAACAAAGTGTCTTCTGAGAAGATACAAAAAGCTTGAAGATGATTATTGCAAACAGTCCTAATTTTCACTTGAAAGTGGAAAACAACCATCATAAAATGAGTTGCTTTAATGTTAAATCTTTCTTCAATATGCATTCTGATTTTTTGATAGTGGTATATGAGGCACAAATTAATTGGTACATATCAGTCATTAAACCCTAAATTCAACACTTGTGTTGCTTTATAGCTCTTGAATAATAATTTTTTGTCCTAATTTTTTTAGGGGGAAAAAAAAACACCAAGAGCCTCACTGTGTAGTCCCGGCTGGCCTGAATCCTCTGTCTCAGCCTCCCAAGTGCTGGGATTGCAGGCGTGCATCTCCACGTCTGGCTTGCTAATGATTTTTTTATAATTATGTTTGATGTCAGGGTATTAGCTGTTTCTGGATTTTTGGAACCAAAGCAGTTCAGTGAAGCAGGAGCCAGCTATACCTGATTTTGCCTTTGCCACGTATTTAGTATATGATTATTCCTATTCTCTGTGTTATACAATGATTTATTTGTTGGAGAGGGTTTCCCGGCGCTGCCCAGGGAAGCTTCCAAGCCCTGGGCCACGTGCTCCTCCAGCCTCAGCCTTGGGGTTGTTGGGCCTTGCCGTTGGGCCCCCCGGTTTCGGTTGTTTTTTTTTTTTTGTTCTTTGTTTTGTTTTGTTTTTTGAGACAGGGTCTTGCTATATAGTTCAGACTGGCCTTGAGCTCTCTATGGAGCCCAGGCTGGCCTTGGACTACTGGCAGTCCTCCTGCCTCAGCCTCCAACTTACTTTATGAAGTGTCTCTGTAAGCAGTAAACTCTCACAGCGTACCTAATATATTCCAGGTAGTCAGCATACCATTCACAACTAGTTAATTACAACTAGCAGTTCACAACTAATTAATTAGGAATTTATGTTTACTCTTGATTGCCCACTCAAAAATAGGTGAGTTCGTCACTGTACCCAGCCCTTCTTGTTCTTTTCCCAGTGTCTCTTGTTCACTCATCTGCTTTGACTCTGTCAAGTTTTTAACAGTACTTCCTACAGTCTGGTGGTGAGAACAGGATAAATTTGGCCAGATTCCACATTTATATTGCATTATTTATTCTTATCTTCATATTGTAGTGAAGTGACCGATTGATCACTTGATTTGTGTGTGTGTCCGTTTTCAGGAACTATGAAACTTTGGTGAATGCGTTGCTGGATGGTGTGGAGCAGAGAGACCTGTGAGTACAGAACAGCTCTTCTCCCTGCTCCGCTGCTTCCTCCCCCGCCTCCCTCCTGTGCTAGAAATCAGACAGGAGGGCCTCGTGCCGCTGAGCTGCACCGCCGGCCCCGTTAGCAGTGGCGTTGCCCTCAGCACGTCTGTCCTGCGTACGAAGGCTGTGGGTAATGTCGTAGAAAATTGCACTCGTGATTTATGTGTTCAGAAGACTAAGAAGGAGAAGCACGGGCAACTTTGGGGGCAGTGACAGACGTGGTGTTGAGTAGACCTGTTCTAGTTCTTGAGAAGAATAAAATTATGTGTGAAATACTTCTTTTAAAGACGTGGCTTTATGATGAGTAACGTGGTTTGTGACTTTTCCCCGCCCTCTTCAAGGCCCTGGAAGTTTGAGCATATAGGAATTGGTCTTCTGTCTCTGCTCTTGAGAGACGACCGAGTGTTGCCTCTTCGAGCCGTACGTTTTTTTGTGGAGAATCTCAACCATGATGCAATTGTAGTTCGAAAGGTAGGTGCTTTATTTTAGCTACTGGGTTTGACACTGTTTATCTCACTTGAAGTCTAATTTCTTTACAGATAGTACATACCGTAATAAGTATGTTGAAGTGTGTACATATGAGGGCATGTTCAGCACTGCATAGTTCAACGCTGGAATAGTACAAGGAATATGCTTCTAGACTAATGAGAAAGGTTGACTTTGAAAAAATAGAAAATTAGGCTCAGTGTTTCAAGAGGGAAAAACATTTAGAGGTATAACTTCTAGGTTTTGCTGTCAAAGTATTAGCACTGAGGGTTAGGAGAAGTGCTAGCCTAGTCTAGTACAGTGTAGAAAACCCCTTAAAAAGGTTCCTAAGCGGAGATACGAAGGATGAGTAGGTACTGATTTAATAAGGAAAGGGCCACTGGGTTTTGTAGTTCAGCGTGGCCTTGGACTCGCTGTGTAGTGCATCCTCCCAAGTGCTTGGTTACAGCTGTGCGCCCGCACGCTCAGCCTTGGAAGGGGTCAAAGTTCTTTAGGCAGAGACTGATGTGGATAAAGGCTCCAGAGTATGAGCTGGAGCTGTTCATGCCTCACTCTGAGTCAGTTTCTTGCTGCCGTGGCCGGCCCACCTGCTGTCAGTGGGTGCCACGAGGCTTGTGGGGTGTGGGGTGGAGTCCAGGTTCTTCTTTGGTTAAAGCAGTCAGCTCTTCTAAGAGATTTTCCACCCTCTGTCCTAGGGATCGAACCCAGGGCTTTGCACTGACCTGCGTCCTCCCTGCCCAGCACAACCCACTAAATTGCACAGGCTGGATTTGAATTTGTAAAATGACTCACACTCCTCGAGTGCTGGTGTTATAGGTGTGCACCACCATACTTGCCTGATTTTTTTTTTAACTTTTGATGTATGTGCCTTACCTTTTTTTAGATGGCTATCTCAGCTGTTGCTGGTATTCTCAAACAGCTAAAAAGAACCCACAAAAAGTTGACCATTGACCCTTATGAAATCAGTAAGTATTACAAAAAATAGTTAATAGTGCTTTTCAGTAAAACATAGAAAATTTCCTTGAAAAGTGTAATTGTTCTCGACCACAAATATTTTTTATGGGAATAGATAAAAAATGTGAAATAATGCCAAAAAGGAAGCAGTTGACTTATTAAAAACTGGGATTTTAAAAATTTCACAAGAAAATAATATTGAATCTTTAGGAAATTGAACCCAGGAGCTTGTGCATGCTTGGCAAGTCCTCTAACCTGTGAGCTGCTATATCCTCAGCCTCGTGGTGTTTTTTGAGAGTTTTAGTAGCTTGCTTGTTACAAAAACAGAGTTACACTAGTTCTGTTGTTTGAAAGTGGTGAATCATTGTTGGATGAGTGTTTTTAATCACCCGTGATTGTCTTTTCCTTATGTAGGTGGATACCCTAAACCCACCCAAATTCTTGCTGGTGATAGGCCTGATAATCACTGGTTGCATTATGATAGCAAAACTGTACCAAGAACTAAAAAAGAATGGGAGACAAGTTGCTTTGTTGAGAAAACTCACTGGGGATACTACACCTGGCCAAAGTGAGTTGTGAATCGTCCCGCACCTCGTTAGATGGCCGCGGTGTTCTGTCGCGTTGGGGCTTCTGGGGAGTTCAGGGGCCCTTGCAGCCCCCACCCCTTCTGCTTCCTCTGTTTCTTTTGCTCCTGCCAGTGCTGTGCCTCATTCCTGCCTCTTGTCAAATCCGTAGCCTTTCTTAACACTATGATATGACTAAGAAGGTTGTTGGCAGCTGCTCCAAATTATATTTTATGTGTTAGTAATATACATGTCTAAACCAACCCAGAGAAATACTTACCTCCTTTGTTGCCTGCAATAATCTGTCCCCAGGACACAGTAATTAATTTTTAAGGCTGAGCATATTACACATCTCCAAACTTCACATCTAGAGTTACTAAACATGCTTTGTAATGCTTTCTATCCGTGATGCGCTCGTGTGTCTTCCTGTGCATATTACAAATACAAACTCTTGCTGTGTAGGAATATGGTGGTTTATGCTGGTGTGGAAGAGCAGCCTGAGCTTGGCAGAAGCAGGGAGGATATGACGGAGGTAAGCTTTGGCTTCTCTGTGCTTTCGAGTGCCTCTTGTTTTTGCCCACTGGTTTATTTCAGTCTTAGCGCAGATCTTCTTTCAGGCTTGGCGGTTGCAGTGCAGCACAGGGTAAATACAGAGGGGTGTTTAGTACTCCTGATTCCTGAGTGCCAGCTGATGCGAGTCCCTACGCACCCAGGGCTCCCGCAGCCCTCCGCCCGAAGTTACCCCTTGGTAGGGTCAGCTGTTGGTTTCTTGTATCAGTTCTGGTACAGGTGCCTTGAAACCAAACATAACGACTGACTTTCAGATTTCTGATGCATGAAAATGATACGACGCTTGGTAAATAGTGTTGATAGATTTAACTCTGAACTTCGCAGTCTTCACTAAGCTGCTTTCTCACTTGGAAAGATACAGGCTTTTACATGTAGATCTTACAGGTTATGGAACTGATTCTGAACAGTTTGCCTTTGAACTTACGGTTTTAAACAAATATGGAAATGGTTTGTTGGAGTTTGGTTTACAATTGGGGAATTTTCACAGATTTCACAAGTAGCACAAAAGCAATAAACCGTCATTTCCCAAGCAGACTATCTGTTGGTTTTAATTAACAATATGAGCAGCTAGATTCAGATTTGAATGATGTGAAGGACAAAGCCTTAGCTATTTTTATGTACTTGGCATTTTTAGGGAGGCACATTATTTTGGGTCTAGAAAGTATTGTTTCTGTGAGAACTGAACATTGTATAGAAGAAAATGACAGCCTCTGTTGAATCAAACCCTTATATTTTAACCTTTTAGAGTTATGTTCTTAAAAGATTTTAAACCCTGAATATTCTTTTTTTTTAACTTTATAGGCAGAACAGATTATATTTGATCATTTTTCTGATCCTAAATTTGTTGAACAGTTAATTACTTTTCTATCTTTAGAAGACAGAAAAGGAAAAGATAAGTTTAATCCCCGGCGTTTTTGCCTCTTTAAGGTAACTATATTATTTATATACCCTCTTTGTAAAGTTTAGTGATTTAGTTTGTAAGTCATAAATTTATTTTAAGTGTGTGATTGGGGTTTGAATCTAAGCACCCGTTTTCACTGAAAATGGCCCTGAAGTTTGCACCCGTCGTGGCTTCTGGCTTAAGGCTGTGACTGGAGAAATGAAAGCTTCGTTTATCTTTAATGTATGTGGTTTGCACTAGAGGAAAAAAATACATTTTATGTTTGGTTTTTTGAAGTATAACATTTTTAAATTCAAACGATTATTAAAGCCTAGTTACATTTTAATATAAATAAAATGCCAGTATCTTTACCATTTTAATTCATGTTGTTAGAGTACGTAGCGCTAACGGGAGGATCACTTGGAACCCTTAAGTAATGTCAATAATTGCAGGCACATTATAACTGAGATGATAATCAGTTGAAGACTGAATTAATTTCTTTGTTTTTATAGGGACTATTTAGAAATTTTGATGATGCCTTTCTGCCAATTCTGAAGCCCCATTTAGAACGTTTGGTTGCAGATTCTCATGAAAGTACCCAGCGGTGTGTTGCAGAAATTATAGCTGGCTTAATCAGAGGTTCAAAGCATTGGACCTTTGAAAAGGTGATGTCACTGTACAGCACATTCTTTGTTGAAGATATCTTATCTAGCCAGGCAGTGGTGGTGCACGCCTGTAATCCCAGTGCTCGGGAGGCTGGGACAGGAGGGTCGTTGTGCGTTCGAGACCAGCTTGGGCTACACAGTGAGCTCAAGGCCAGCCTGAACTGCATAGCAGGAGCCTGTCTCAAAAACAAACAAACAACAACAAAAAAATACATTATCTATTCAGCGAGCAGTCCCCATGTCATTTGTTATGATGCTTACAGTATGCGGTGCCTGGTTCCATAGATTGTGTAGTATGAGCGCACTGCTCTTGAGTAGATGCCACAGACTTGTCATGAGGGAACGCTGACTCTTCAGACTTCTGAATTACTTGCCAGTAGTGCAGGGTGGGGGTCAGGATACAGTGTGTTGGAGAACAGCAGCACTGAGTGAGAGGAGAGGCCTGATTCGTCTGGCTTCTCCTGAGGAGGAGGAGGACCCTGAAGTCCTGCCCCGCGGCGTTCTCCCACACCCCCGGGCGCTGCTGTGTCTTCTCCCTCATGAACCCTCTCTCAGCCTCCTTGCTCGTGAACTTTGCCTTTCTAGTCTTGTAGGCAGTTTGAGCTGGAACTCCCTCTTTAGAATGTCACTGCCTTTAAGATTTGATTTCACACTTGGGCCCTGATGTTACCAGAATACACAAATAACAGATTTTGGCCAATTTTTCGAAGGTCTGTGAACACTTAGGTCAGGCATGCTGGTGCGTGTCTGTAATCCCAGCACCTGGGAGGCTAAGGCAGGAACATTGCCACAAGTTCAAGGCAGGCCTGAAATACACAGTGAGAGCTCAAAAGAAAGAGCAGGGGAGTAGGGGGAGAAAGGGATTTGAAACATGTCACATATGTCCTTGTCATCCGGCAGTGCTTGCAGTCAGTTTTGAGTCACCTGTTTTCTAAGACGCTTTCATTGTTTAATCCGTGGTTGGTGTTTTCAGAGGAGATTTTACTCCTGGTCCCCCTTCCCTGTTTGTTGTTTTTAAATAAAGTCCATGGGCCTGCAGCATGGGTGTCATTTGGGAGCTTGTTAGAGAAGAAGGATCTGAGGTTCCCCCTGCAGTAGTGGGAGTCATATTTTGTCAAGATCTGAAGCTTTGTGTGCTGATTTGTCTTTGAGAAGCATGTGCATCAGTGCTCGGTCTCCGTTCAGTGAAACGGTTTCTAAAAGGCCCTTTGTAGGCATCTCAGTCTTGGGGTTTGGATCACCTCACACTAATTTTAATGTCATTGCCGCCTATTGTAAATGACCTTGATCAACACTGAAAACTTGCAGTTGAGTTTGTTTTCAGCCCTCATACTGCAGAACTGTGCAGTGGTGGGGGAGACCCTGTAAAGAGCCGTGTAAAGTTTTACCTGTTTTCAGAAGAGTAGTTTGTGGGGGGTGACCTGTACTTAGTGTGTAATGACAGCGAGTAAGGGTTACAGTCTCTGAGCCCTCTGCATAATTTAAATTCTGTACTACTTAATGTGTGTGTGTGTTTCCAGGAAAGGAGGTGTTTGTTTTACATGTTCCGCGTGTTACTAACTTTCACCCATGTGTTTAATTTTGAGCAGGTGGAAAAACTTTGGGAGCTTCTGTGCCCTCTGCTTAGAACGGCCTTGTGCAACATCACGGTGGAGACCTACAACGACTGGGGCACGTGTATAGCCACGTCCTGTGTAAGTTCTCCAGCTTTCTTCTGCGCCTCCCTCTGTTCCGAGTACCTGACACCTCGTCTCAGAGTGTAGGGAGCCGTATCTTGAAATTTTGCTCTTACCTTTGTCATCTTACTTACATCTGAGGACAACACTTTTTAGCCCTTCCAATAAGCATTCAGTGATAATCCTTACGTGATTTTGATATTGTCTGTACTGTAGCAGTAGATTTTTAAATTAAATGACAAATCATATAGTTGGAAATGTAGCTTACATAGAGTAAAAGCTACACAATATGAAGATTATATGTATTATTTACACCAAATGTCTGTAGCTCATATACTTCACTTTAAGGATAACCCCTTGTGCTAACAGTTTTCTCGCTATGTACATGAGCTGTGATAATGACATTTGGATCTGACTCACACATTTTAGGATTTCTTTTTTCCTGTATAGTTAATACATGTTAAATATTTCTAAATTAGCTTGAGTTTTATTTATAGAATTGTAGGCCCTTTATTTAATTATTACTTTATATCTTCAACACAGGAAAGCAGAGATCCTCGGAAACTTCATTGGCTTTTTGAGCTGCTATTAGAATCACCATTGAGTGGCGAAGGAGGATCCTTTGTAGATGCATGGTAAAAACCTGTGAGATTAACACAAAGTATTAACTTCGCAAAAGCTTAAGTTAATCTGATGTGTAAATGGAAATGAATTACCTGTACATTTACGTACTAATTACTTCCTGGAAAACACTGATCCATTTCAGGGCACTGTATAATACTTAGTTATTTCTCAGTTGGGAACCAGTCAAGACTGAAGGCAACGTGAGCAGTTTCTATGTAAGCTACATCCAGCTGTCTCTGCTGTCACTCCTTTTGTTAGGGTTTCTTTATGCGCCTTGGCAGTATTTTCTCTTTATTCCATCTCACTTTTCATTCTTTGCTGTAAAGAAAGAAGAGGACTGAGCATGCTGGCCTAATGTGCTGAGATTCAGTCCCCAGCACTACCGAAAGGGAGATGGCACTGGGTGGGCGCGTACGGAGCTGGAGAAAGCGTGGGCAGAGGAGGGGATCTGGCAAATACTGTTAAGACAAAGAACAGTGTCTCGGTTAGTTAGTGAGGAATTCGAATTGTGATCCTTAAAGATGAGGGTTTTTTCCAGCTGTGTAGTGGAGAGGAAATGTGTATGTAGCAAAAACGATGGTAGGAAAAATAATATCTTCGTGCGGACGCTTCTGTGCGAACGTGGCAAAAGTTTCAGGTGAAATACGGGCTTGGTTGGTTGTGTCAGTGTGTGCAGGCGGACGGGCGCGAATGTGACGGTTCTGTCCTTTGCCTTTAGCCGCCTCTATGTGCTGCAGGGGGGACTTGCTCAGCAGGAGTGGAGAGTGCCCGAGCTACTGCACAGACTGCTGAAGTACCTGGAGCCCAAACTGACCCAGGTTTACAAAAACGTCAGGGAGAGGATAGGCAGGTGGGTACTTCGTGCTCTGCAGTTCTTGCTGTTACTGCCCAACAGAAAACCCTGTTGCCCAGTTACCGTCATCGTGTCCTTTTTTCAACTTTACTTACCATGGTAAGAAATAAGACAAGCAACTCCTGATGTAAACCAAGAGAGGAGTGTGCTCAGAGGTCAGAGGTGAGCGATCACCACTCCCCAGGTTGAGCAGTTCGGAATTACAGGACTTCTTTCACATACGGGGAATGTGAGACCCTGCCCAGGAACTAACTTGGGAAAATTTACTTTGATTGTGTCGTATAACTTCTAAAGCTTATTTTAATGATAATGTGGAACGTCTTTGTAATATTTTGCATTTTATTTAACAGTGTGCTGACCTACATATTCATGATAGATGTTTCTTTGCCAAATACTGCGCCAACAACATCCCCTTGCATCCCTGAGTTTACTGCTCGTCTCCTAGAGAGATTAAAGCCCCTCATGGATGCGGAGGAGGAAATCCAGAACCACGTTATGGAAGAAAACGGAGTTGGTGAAGAAGATGAACGAACGCAGGGCATCAAACTCTTAAAGACCAGTGAGTCGCTAAAATTTCTTGAAATTCCCCTGAAAACATAGTTAATTTATCCTCTCCTGAAGTAGTTCCCCCAGTCGTTTTTATTGCGATAAAATACACGTCATGCAGAATTTACCCTTTGACCCATTTTGAAGTGTGTAACTCACGGGCAGTAAGCACACTCACACTGTTGAGGGGTCACCGCCACCCCCCACCCCCCCGCTCCGGAGTTCTTCGTTGTTTGAAGCCGGAGCTCTTCCCACGAGCAGTAGCCTCCCCCTCTGTTCCTGCCAGCCCTGCGCGGCCCCCGCTGCCCTTGGTCGCCGTGTGGCCTGTCGGTACCGCTCCTCTGTTCCGTGGACGGTGTGGGCTCCTCTGTCTGCTGGGTTTCACTTCGCGTAGTATTTCGTGGCTGATCTGCTTTGTTGGTGAATAAGAAATTCATGCCTACTTTGCACTTACCCATGAACGGACACTTGGGTTGTTTGCACCTTTTGACAAATAATGCCACTATAAACATTGATATAAAAGTACGTATTTGATTCAGTGCTTTCACAGTTTTTTAGTGTATACCCAGAAGTGGAATTGGCTGGACCATATAGTATTTCTGTGTTTCACATTTTGAAATGCTACCAAACTTTTCCACAGCACCTACACCGTTTTACATGTCAGTCATCAAATGTGCAAGGGCTTCAATTTCTTTGCACCCTTGCTGACGCTGTTTTCTGTTTTGTTCTGTTAGTTTTCCCCCATTATAACCATCCTGGCACGTATAAAGAGCCATCTTGCTGAGATTTTTTTTTGTATCTGTATTGTTAAGTGACACTGAATAATGTTGTTTGCGTTTTGGCTGTTTGTGTATTTTCTCTGGAAACTTCAGGACCTTGGTCCTTTGCCCAACTTTGAGTTAGGCCGTTCTGTTGCTGTCAAGCTGTCGTTTCTTGTGTACCCCGGTACTGGCGCTGATCAGGTGGATGGTCTTCTTCCGTTCTGCGGGTTCTCCTCCTTGCTCCGGTAGTCGTCTTTGGTGACTGAAAGTCCAGCTTTGGTTGTCCACCCATCTACCCTGTCTGCTTGGAGATGACTGCCAGATTGACGGCCAGGCAGGTTCATAGTTCTGGCTCTCACATTTAGGTCCTCAGTCCAGTCTGAGTTATTTTTTGTGTGTATCACCAGGTAAGTGTGAACTTCTTACAGGTGGACATCCAGTTTTCCCACCAGCATTTGTTGTTAAGACTGTGTGTTCTCCACTTCGTAGTCTTGGCACAGTTTTTAAAAGCTGGTTGGCCTTCGTGCTGTGAGGGTTCATTTGAGGATTTTCTGCTCAGCCGTTGGTTTGTGCGCCCGTCCTTAATGCCAGGGCCCTCTGTTGGCCGCGGCACCCACCCAGCAAGCTGTGAAGCGTGAGCGTGAGTCCTCCACACTTCCTAGGGTTGTTTAGGCTGTTCCAGGGTTCTTGATTTTGTATTTGAAAAATTTTCAAAGATTCTAAGTGTAACCCACTTGGTCATTATTTTAGCTGCCATAGAATTACTGGAGACTGGCTTTAGCATCAAACTTGGTGTAGGTCCTTGATAGGTTGTTTTAATAATTATAGATGCCTCATTGGGAAGTAATGTCTGTGCTGGATTATTTCGTAGCCTTCGTTATGGGTCCCGTTAACTCCCGATGCACCAGTGTCTAACTGGTGAGCTACCCAAGTGGTCTCAGTTATAACGTGAGAGCTGTTAGGTGATCATCTGATGCAGCTGCGTAGTAACCCTTCCGCTCTGGGGTCTCTGAGAGCAAGCAGCGGCTGACTGCACGTTTGTCTCCAAACAGTACTGAAGTGGCTGATGGCAAGTGCAGGAAGGTCCTTCTCCGCAGCAGTCACGGAACAGCTTCAACTCCTGCCTTTGCTCTTCAAGGTAAGGGTGCAGGTGGGAGGAGGAGCACGTCCCCTTCTGGCCTCACAAGTACTTGTCATTACCTCCGATGGTTGTAGGCGTTTAGACAGTGTGAATTTTCACTGGATCTCTGAGAATCACAGTAGTCACAGGGGAACTATTAGTGGTTTAATATTTGTTTTTTTTTGTTTCACTTGTTGAGTTAGTTTGGTTTTTCAGACAGGATCTTGCTATGTGCATAGTTCAGGCTGGCCTTGAATTCACTGCAGTCCTCCTGCCTCAGCTTCCTGAGTGCTGGGATTACAGGTGTGTGCCACCCAGCTTGTTGAAATATGATCCGTGAATACGATCAGGATCTTGACAGATCCTTGGAAGTTTTATAGGTAGAACTTTCTTTCATTGATTGTCACTTTCTGAGTAATAGCAATTTGGAGAAAATATTAGTAGTTAAATCTACAGGGAAATTTCTCAATATGGCCACTTTAATATACAATAAATCTAAAGATTAAAATGTTCTGTATGTTTTATAGCATTAAAGGGCTCTACACTGTTGCCAACAAGTATCTGTAGAAAGTCATTTTATCAATGAAAGACGTGGTTTTAATGACTCATCTGTTCAGAGGATGAAGCTAATAGAACTGTGCTTGCAGACCTGGGATTATAGCCGTAATGTGTAAGGCCCCAGCAAGGTTGAAAAACAAAAATAAAAACACCAGGTTGGCTCATCAGTTTCCAGAATCATAGTTTGCAGTTACGACACTTTGGCTGTGGTCGCTGTGCATTTGGAAGTCTTGGTGCGGATACCACCAGCACTTGACCCTCAGTCCGTTTACGGTTTAAGGCAGGCCCCTAATCGCAGATGACATGCTGAAGTTTTTTGAAGGATGGCAGTTTAGGGATTGAACTCAAGACCTTCCCTTGAGCTACATTCCCAGCCCTTTATTTTTATTTTGAAACACGTTGGCCAGGCTGGGCTCAAACTTGGACTGCTCCTATCAGCTGCCAGCGTGCTGGGATTACAGGTGTTTGCTGCCCGTCCTGGCTGGCTTGGTGAACTTTTGATCTGTTAAAATATCTGTCTTTTGGAAATTTGAAAAGATAATGCTAACAGTGATTTTCATAGATATTACTACTAAAATAACTTCTAGGAATGCTTTGTAAGGGGTGGTAATTACATCTCTGGGATCTTTTGGTATGTAAAAGTGGGAGCTGCTGGTGTGCAGGTCCTTCGTACCTGTAGGTCTTTGGTATAGTTTGGGGGTGTCTAATTTAGAGTGATAGTACTTAAACTTTTTTCCTCTGTCATAATCTCTAGTGGACATAGAATATAATTGCATATGTTCATAAACTGGTAATAGTCAGTAATTGTTAGGATAGCTGGCTTTTCCTTTTTCTTTCACTAAGCAGGGGGTTAGATAAAGCTGTGAGAAAAATGATTTGAACCCGCCTTGAAATTCATGAAAAACTTAAAATAGGATATTGTCATACGTAAGTTACTAGTGACAAGCCTTGCGTCTCACCTGGCTATTGCTGGTGTTGAGGTTGAGAATCTGCTTTAGTAAATAGGACTCGAGCTACAAAGGCATCACAGCAGTTGTTTTCCAGACAGCTCAGGTATGTCAAGTTTGAAGATAAACTTGTTTACTAAGCTAAGTGGAGCAGAGGGGTAGTTCAAGATGAGATCAGAAGTTCCATTTGGAGCCTGTTTGAGATGCTTACAATGTGGTGTTACTTCTAAGTGATGGTAATGAAGTTACGGGCAGTAGTCTAGCTTTGAGTGTCATCAACGTGAGCAATAGACAGAATACAAAACCGTAAGACTGCCTGGGCGTGGTGTCGCAGGCCTGTAATCACAGCTCTCTGGAGGCTGAGAGCTCAGGACCAGCCTGGGCTACAAAGTGAGCTCAAGGGCAGCCTGAACTGCGTAGTGAGACCCTGTCTCAAAAAGACAAAAACAAACAAACAAAAAACAACATAGAGTGAGATCCTCAAGGGCTTTGGGTATAGATGGAAAAAACCTCAAGGACTGAGCCAGTGTTTATAGGTTGGGGAGGTGAGGACACAATAAACAGAAAAGGTTCAGTTAAAATACGCTCTGTAAGTTACTTTATTTGAAGTAAATTAGAACTGTATAAGGAAACTAGAATATCAGCTCCCTTGTAAGTTTAAAAAATCAGTTACCCATCAGATTATTGGTGGTCAACATGTATAGCTACGTGGTATTCAGTGTATTTTGACACTTTTTTTTTGGATATGTGTCATTTGTTTGGTACCTGATGTGCAGACTAGAATTTCTTGGTACCAGTTTTCTCACGACTGGCGTTTTAGTCAGCACTCCACCTTTTGGTTCTCACCGCACCTTACAGTCTTTCTTCTTTCTTTCCTTGCCCTCTTTGTCTCTCCCTCCCTCCCTTCCTCCCTTCTTTCCTTCCTGCCTGCCTGCCTGCCTGCCTGCCTTCCTTCCTTCCTTCCTTCCTTCCTTCTTTCCCTTTTCCTTTTCCTTTCCCTTTCCCCTCACTATGTAGTTCAGGCTGACCTCAAACTCACGATCCTCCTGCCTCAGCCTTCTGAGTGCTAGGATTACAGGCATGAGACAGCATGCCTGGCCAGAACTAATTAATGACAAGGTACCACAGCACCACCATATTTCAGAAGAGAGACCAGTGACAAGTACTATCACATGTCTGTTTAAATCTTTTGTTTAAATATTTTTTTGTGGAAGTTTTCATTCTCCTTTTTTTTTTTTTTTTTTTTTTGGTTTTTCTCCGGTACCGGGAACCGAACTCACAACCTTGCGCTTGCCAGGCTCATTCTCCTTTTATAAATTAAAAAATGATGGTGTGTAGTTCCATGGCAGAGTGATTGCCTAGCATGTACAAGGTCCTAGGTTCAATCCCTAGCACAAGTAAAATAAAAAATGCTCATTAAAAGAAAATGTGGAAAGCTGAAGGGGAGTAAGATTGACAAACCACCATCTGTCATTAATCCTTTTGTCTGTACAATTGTTTTCTCATGTTATTATCAATTTATAGACGCATTAAATGTTCATTTAAAAATCTAGAGCATAGAGATTAGCAAGACTAATTCTGTATCCGCACCTCACAGAAAGGTGTTGTTCACAGTTTTGTATGTTTTCCTCCAGGTTTTTTGCACGGTTATTTTAGTTAGGATCGTGCTGGTTGTTCTCCGGCTGTCTTCCTGGTACCCAGTCGGTGTGTTCTGTGCTTGTGCGGGCGGCGTGTCGGTGAGACTCACGGTGCTGCTGGAAGTTGCTGTGCAGCGTGCTCTGTGCCGTGTGCGTTGGGCTTTGCTGCACACTCACTAGGGAGAGGTGAGAGTCAGGGAGTGAGCGGTCCGCACCGTGAGCTGGAGCCTGGCTGCCGGGGTTCACCTCGGCTGTGTGCCTGGTAAACGCTGCCCTGGGAGCAAGTGATTCAGGGCCTCAGAGCTCTTTGCCCTCACCTGTGGAATGAGAATAATTCGGTGATGACCTTCTACAGCCTAGGGCTCTTACAGGGTTAAGCGTTACTATTTCCCGCACTGTCCAAATTGAGGAATCGTGATTGAGTTCAACACTAGGAATGCAGTGTCACCGGAATTTTTCCATTCCCTACATTGCCACTAGCAAATAAGGCACATTCAGCCTTCTTTTTTTTTGGTTCCAGGAATCAAACTCGGGACCTTGTGCTTGCCAGGCAGGCCCTGTGCCGCTGAGCTCTGTCCCCAGCCCCAGACATCTTTTAGGTTGTAAACTGAGGGTGTAAGGAGTCCTGCGTGTGCAGAGTGCTTAGAGCCGTGTCAGGCACATGCGAAACACTGCAGAGTATTCTTGTTCCTTATACAAGCATCTTGTGCACGGTGTGCACTTGGTATTTTGCATAGATTTCTGTAAGATAATTTATCAGAAATGAAAACATTGCATAAATTTCAGTTGATACATTATTTTTAAGAAACATGGTATATTGACTGTTTTATTTTGAAGTGTTATTTATCCTGTCACATACAAAGCAGTTTTATATCAATTAAAATTAAGAAACCGTTAAAAAATATCCATACCAAAGTTAAAATTTTAGTAATTTTTCTGTTCTGGTCTCAGAGCTTTCATATTGCTCAAGCTGAGGGGAAGAAATTATGTAACTGAGTTTCAACTTGGAACTATCAAAGCTTATGGTGGTAGCTGAGAGAGGGGGAGGGCCTTGCAGTCTAAGTTTCAAGCTTTCCAAAATGCTTGTCAAAATCCTCTGCAGTTTACATATGTCAGGTTTGGAGAAAATTTTGCAGATACTATGATGCACTGATGTGCTTGTTACTTCCCGTTGGTGGCATCTCTTCAGAAATATTTTTTCCTCAAAAATTCGATATGAAGATCTATGAGGTACTTCCTTAGTTAACTACATGGGCAGCATTTTCTGTTGGTCAGCAGTTTAATGTCAGTTAATTTTATGGTACAACAAAAACTAGTTTTTGTGAAAACAAGGCAAAGAAAGATGAGAGACTCCTTTGCCTGCATCAGCATCCCAGTTTAGGGTCTTTGATTGCAAACGCTAGAAACCAAATGACTGTGAAAACAAAAGAAGGAAATTCATTAAATTAGACACAAGGGTGGAGGTAGTAAACGAAAAAGGTCAGAGCTGAAGAACCAAATGGAAACAGCACCTCTGAGGACGGAGGCTCTGGAGGACAGCAGGGTTCCTCCCCGGGGTGCCGTGTCCGTGTCTCCCCTGTCAGGGCTCGCTGACCAGGTCCCGGTCTCCTGTCACTCGCGACTGGGGGGACTGACCTGTTGACGTCCCGCCAGAACAGCTGAGAAGGGGGTGACGCTCCAAGAGAAAATCAAGGCGTGGCTGCCAGCAAGAGGAGGGGTGGGGATTGTCAAGGAAAACACGTATTTATGCAACAGTTGACCGTCTTTCTTATTTAAGTCTTAGGGAAAACGCATGTCATTTTAGGTTGTGTATAGATTCATGTGATACCTTCTCCGATGGAAATACAGAAATATTTCATCACCACAGAAATCTAGAAAAAAAAAAATTTTAGATCTCCTTACGCTGCCTCTTCCTCCCTAACCTACTTCCCACTCTTACCATTCCAACCCCTAACCATTACGTTTTCAACTTTATAACTTTATTACTTCAGAATCTCAAGGTATGTGTCCATTTCAGATTAGGTTTTTTTACTCCACAGATTCTTCTTTGAGGTGTTTAGTACTGGAAGGAAGAATGTGGCATTGCATTTTAATGACAGGGCAGGGGGCAAAGCGCTTCCTTGCTCCGTGCCCGTGTAGGGTTGTCTGAGCCGTGGCTTCTCTCTAACGCGTACGTGGGGCTCAGGACTCGGATCACACAGTGAGGGGACGATTCTTCCCGAGCTGACGTGGCAGCAATCTCGCTAGCACTGGACTTCTGTAGACCAAACTACAGCTCAGGAGCGAGGCCTGCTCGGGAAGAGGGCTTCGCGCACCCCCGAGATGAGTCGAGGAGAGAGGAGAGAAACTTCCTCACGTGGTTAAAGCCCCACCTTTTACAGGTGTACAGAGAAATGGCTAATAGTGAGCTTTGGCCTTTAGAGGGAAAAAGAATGTTTTGTAAATTGAAATCATACTGAGGTGCAGTTTTCACCTCTTTTGTCCTACCCGGGGTACAGATGTTTGACGCCATACTCTGAGGATGTGACTCTCTGAGGAACTAAGAAAGGCCTGGGACAGAGTTTAGCAAAGGCATACATGCATTTACTGGCTGGTGGTGGTGAGCTGCTGCGCTTCCAGCAGGAAGGTGCGCTGGTGAAGGTGCTGTGGCTGTGCGTGAGGACACTGGGAAGTCTGCAGGCAGTTCAGGGGTTAGTGGCTGTTGAGGTGGTCTGGTTACGTGGCGCCTGCTGCTGTGGAGGGCTTCCAAAAGCAAGTCCCTCCATACCGCTGGGCACTGTGGCGCACGGCTGTGATCTCGGCACTGAGGGGGCACTGCAAGTGAACCCACCCTGGGCATCGTCGTGAGACCTGAGACGAAGAAGCCCACGGGGTAGCTCAAGCGGGCGGGGGCGGGCTGGACCCAGTCCCTACCACTGGCAGAGGGGAGAGCAGCAAAGCAAAGTGAGGTAACCTCACGGATTATCGGATTGGTGAGAAGGGACTTCTGAAACCACCACATTTGGTACGGGGTTGTACACCTGTGTGGTTTATTTCTCTTCAGAAAATGTACTCCGAGCTCTAACCGTTGAAGGGTGTAGACACAAAGCAACACAGAGGTGAAGCAGTGATTTCTTAGAGCCCTCATTACGGGTTCTAAGTACTTCTCACGAAAGCAACCAGCGCTTCTGGGGGAAATGAATGATTCAGTGTTTGCAGCAAGAAATGTACAAGATACAAGATGAGCTTTTCATAACAGACACCAAAGACACTTGTGTTGAAAGTACCAGGAGCCAGTTTGAGGGTCCTGTGGTGTTACTAGTGCAGGGTGACGGTGAATCACAGCCATCGGTGTCGGTGTCGGAAGTGTACAGCACCGCCTGTGTCTGTCCAGTCACACTTGTGACGTCAGCGGCCCGTAACGCAGGGAAGCGGCAAGGAGGTCACACGGGGAGACCCAGGACAGGACAAGGTTCCTCCTCCGGCCCAGGAAAGCGGATAGCATACCAGCGAAGTGTAATCTCTTACCATGTTTTACGATGCCTGTCAGAGATAAAACCGTGTTTGTAGATAAAAGATTTGTAAGGCTTTTATCAAATAATGTAGTTGGGGAAACGCGGAAGCAGAGGGAGCGAAGGTGATCTGTGAACGCATCACTGTTCAATAACCTTACGGGGCTCCACGCTTTCGAGTTCTGGATGTGTTTGAAATCTTCATGCACGTTGCTTAAAGTGAAAGTATGATCATTTTTTGTTACTTTCTAGATCGCACCAGTGGAAAACGACAACAGCTATGATGAACTGAAAAGAGACGCAAAGTTGTGCTTATCACTGATGTCTCAGGGCTTGCTCTATCCTCATCAAGTGCCTTTAGTCCTTAAGGTGCTGCACCAAGTAAGAGCCTTTGACTGCAGTGTTCACATCTTTTCGTTAGGGGTGGTTTAGCGTTTTAAGAATTTCAGTCAGCTACATTTCACAAGGAACCGGATTTTGGTTTTTAAGTTTTTGTTCCGTATAACAAGATATACATATTGACCCACAAAACAGACCTAGATTCTCTGCCTAACTCTGACCAGCTTTCTGTCCTTTGGGCAAGTCACCCAGGCCAAAAACTTAAAGAGTGTATACACAAAGAGCTGACTATTGAAGCATCAGGGATACAAAGTGCTTGTGAGGGCCTTGGTCATCCCTTTTGCCATTTCCCCTTTACGTACTGCTCTGTTGTGAGCTACGCTACAGAGACGGATTGTAATTTTATGCTTCCTGGCTGCATTGTTAGTATACACGTAGTCAGCTTTGTGCATGTCGTATACATGCCGTATAAAAGTGGGCATGTTCTGCACTTCTTTTTTTTTTTTTTATTTTTTATTTTTTTATGTTCTGCACTTCTAAGTTTTTTTTCATTTTGTCCCTGGAAAATATTTTTTTTGGAGTGGAATTTAGTAGCCTTTAATCCTGTTGGTTTTCAAAACCTCACCTCCCAGTACTGAAAATAAAAATAATGTGCAATCCTTGGAGGAGGAAGAGGAGTTAATTCATTAATCATGCATGGTTCTTTCTGTTTTGAATAATTTTATCGGCACATTTTAGATACAGTGATCACATTCATCAGAGGGAATTTGTATCTGTACATGATACCTTGATTCTTTTGTCCCCACTTCCCTTCCCCCTTCAAACCCTCTTCGCCTCCTCTTTACAAAAGCTTCATTTCCATTTTGTTTTCTTTTTTCTTTTCCCTTTATTCCTTTCGTCCTACCCCTGCCTTACCCACTTCCCATGTGCGTATTTTCTTCTGTTCCCAGCATCTGTCCACTGTGGTCCTCATTTACCTTTCAGTTTGTCGCGTGGAGAAACCGTGTCTCACCCATTTCACTGAAGGGAGTGGGCTCTTCTTTTCCCCCTTCCCCCACCCCCAGTTCCACTGTCTTTGGGACAGTTCCTTCCTGCTTCGTAATACCTTTCATACACACTTCGGTCCTTACTTACACATTTGGTATCTCACACCACAGAAACAGCGGGGTATTTACACGTGTCTTGCTTATTTCACTTAAGAGTTTGGTCTCAAGGTTCATCCATTTAGCTAGAAATGCCTCAAATGTATCCTTCTTTACAGCTAAGTAGTACTCCCTTACAGTAAAAAAAAATCTTTGTCATTTTCTCAGTTGATGGGCATTTGGGTTATTTCTAAGACTTAACCTGTTACAAACTGTGCCACTATAAACATGGGTGTGCACATATTGCTGTGCTGTGATGTTTTTAATTCTTCCAGGAAGATACCCAGAGGGGAAATAACAGAGTCAAATGGGACCTATAGTCCTAGTTTTTTTGTTTTTGTTTTTGGTACCAGGAATCAAACTCACAACCTCACGCTTGCCACGCAGGCGCTGTGCCGCTGAGCTATATCCCTGGTCCCTATACAGTGCTAGTTTTTTTGAGGAGTCTTCACAGATTTCAGCAGGGGTTGCACCAGTGTAGACTCCCTCCAACAGTGGAGAAGGGTTCCTTTTTCCCCACAGCCCCTCCAGCATTTGTTATCGGTTGATTTCTTGATGATAGCCATTCTTTTTGGGCTGAGATGGAATCTCAGCATTGTCTTACTTTGCATTTCTTGAATGAATAATGCATAATTCTTGAATGAATAATGCATTTTTTCATATATTTACTTGCCATTTGTATTTCTTCCTCTGAGAAGTGTGTGTTCATCTCAGATGCCCATTTTTGGATTGGGTCTTTAAATTTGGGGCCTGATTTTTTTTTTTTTCCCCCTCAATTCTTTGTATCTTCTAGAGCTTTAGCTTCGGTTTGAGGGACAGCTGATTAAAATTTTTTCCCATTGTGTGGGTTGTCTTTTCACTCTGTTGGTGATTTCTTTTGCTGTGTAAAAGCTTTTTAATAGGATGAGGTCCCCGCTGTTGATTCTTTGTAGTATTTGTGGCTCTCTACTAGAACTGACTTCTACCTATATGTTGCTTTCCTGCTACTAAGTCATTACTCGTTTTGAATTAACCTTCTGGAGTAGCTTGCTCAGCCTGCTGTTTAGAAGGAGATCCACACGGCCTCGCCAGTCACGCCGGGGAAGCAGAGTTACCCCACGGGTGCCGGTAACGCCGCCCCGCCGTCTCACCCCCTGTTCAGTGCTGTCACCGTTCTTCTCCTTCCCAGACAGCAAGAAGCAGTTCTTGGCATGCGAGGTACACAGTGCTGACCTACCTCCAGACCATGGTGTTCTACAACCTTTTTATCTTCCTGAACAATGAGGATGCAGTTAGAGACATCAGGTGGCTCGTTATAAGCCTTTTGGAGGATGAACAACTAGAGGTAAAATTTAAGTTATAACAAATCAAAATTCAGTCCATTTAAAGAAGCCTTCATGGGTCTCCCTTTAAGGAAGTATTTCTTTTTTTTTTTTTCTTCCGGTACCGGGAATCAAACTTACGACCTCGCGCTTACCAGGCAGGTGCTGTGCCTCTGAGCTAAATCCTGAGCCCCTAAGGAAGTATTTCTGTATTCAGAAGATGTGTTTTATTAAAATGTAAATTACTAAAAGTAATTTTAATTTTAACCTAGCCCTGTGTGAGTAGTGTTGATACTCTAATCATGATTTTGTGTAGTACAAATGAGAAAAAAAATCGCAGGTTCTTGATACATCTTCTCTTTGCATTTAGGCAAATAATATTTATGAACCTTAGCTCTCTTATCTGTGAAATTGGAGTCAATAATTAACTCACTTAATGATTTTTTTGAGGGGCTGATGGGAGTGTACATGAAAAATTTCAAGAGAATAGAATTCTGCACACAGATACTGTTTTCCAGTAGACTTAAGACAGGATCGCTGTCCGTTTTTTTCCCCCTTGGGTAAACAAAGGGCAGCTTTCATGGCAAATTCCTACTTCTATTTTGTACAAGCAGATAATCTTTTGTTCAAACAACCTAATGTACAAAAAACAGGTTAACAATAGATCGTAATGAAGCACAGCTTTTTTAAATTGCAGTAGAATACTTTTTGTGGTACTGGGGTGTCCCAGAGCCTTTGCTATGAGCTACAACCCAAGCCTTTTTTAATTTTTTTTTTGTTTTGAGAGAAGGTCTTGTTAAGGTGCCCAGGGTGGGCTCAAGTTTGCAGTCTTCTACTTCAGCCTCCCAGCGTGCTGGGATTAGGGGCTTGCACCACCACATCCTACTGTTTATTTTTTTGCTGTCCTGGAGATCTAAGCCAGTGGTGCTGTACCACTGAGCTAAATCTTCACCCTTTTTTATTTCCTGAGACAAGATCTCACTCAGTTGCCCAGGCAGGTCTCAGACTTACGATCCTCCTGCTTCAGCCTCATTAGTAGCAGAGTATAAGCACCTGCCACTGCGTCCCGCTACGTCCTTCATGTACTTACTTCTGAGCGCTGAAAATACACTTTAGGCCTAGGGTACTGGCAAGGGAAGTTCGCCACCTCCCCATCAGGCCGTCCAGCTTTCTCGGGTGCAGTCAGGTAGCGGGGTGTGAACGCTGTTTAGTCACGGGATACTCGCAGATTCAGTTGTCATGACTCTGACCAGCTAGAGTGAAAATATTTAAATGTCTTAAAACAAAGAAACAAGCTAAAGGAATGGGAACAGAGAAGTGGAAATCTTGAAACGTATATTTTCCTAAACTTCAGTTTTTAGAGTCTACGTTAGTCACCTTTCTGTTACTCTAATAAGTATCAGATGATGAATTTACCGCGAGAACAGGTTTGTTTTGGCTTACAGTTTGGGAGATCCCAGTCCATCCTGGTAGATCCCGTTGCTTTTAGTGTGTGGCAAGGCAGCAGAACCAAACACTTGTGGTGGGGAGGGGAGAGAGAGGGCCTGAAGTGCACTCTGCCCGCCTGGAGCTTGCCCTCCACTGCCCTGAACCCTGCCCGGCTGCCCCCCACCGACCTGAGCACCGCCCCGGGTTCCCCGCCTCCCTGGAGGGCCGCCCTGGACACGAATGGGCCTTTCACACATGGGCCTTTGGGTAAGATTTAAGACGCAAATCATAGCAGAGCACCTGCATTAACATGTGCTGTTTTCAGATGCTTCTGCTGGAATACTTCCATAGATTATTTTTGTATATTCTGTATGCTAGGCTTATTAAATATACCTCTTAAATAAACATGACCCTGGCATTTATTAAAACCATTGTATGTTTGAAGCAATGCATGACATTAAATAGCTGTAATAATTCATTAAGTTTTATTATAATATTGGGGGCTCTTTTGTAATAATCTAAAGGAGAACTGTCTTAAAAACTGATTTTAGCCTGTGATCCCAGCACGTGGGAGGCTGAGGCGGGAGGATCACTACAGATTTGAGGCCAGCCTAGACTACGTTGTAAGAAAGCTAAATACTTTTTTCCTTACCTAATAAAATTAATTATAGACAGGGACATGCCAACCCCTAGAACAAAATATCTCGGGAAAGCCTACCAACTCGAGGCCAGCCTGGGCTACAAAACTTGAATTCTTTTCCGTTGGAGTTGGCTGTTGAAGCAGGTACCGTGGCACATACCTATCACCGCAGCTGCGCAACAAGCTGAGGGGGTGGGGCCGTGAGTTTGGTGCCAGCCTGCTGGCCCGGCAGGTCCGTGCGAGGGTAAACGGCTGCGGGTGGCTCCGTGATGGCTGAGCTGCTCACGGCCTCGGTCAGCGCTGCGAGGAAGGAGGAGGGTGACCCTGTTGAGTGAACCAGATCATCTGCGTCTTCCATGGCGTGTTTTCTGGAGAGGCTGAGCGGTGTCTTCCAGACGTGCAGGGTTCAGGGAGAGGTAACTTGCACGCCGAGCTGCAGCGTTCCTCCCAGTTCCAGCCGTAAGGAGGAGTGAGACGGGAGCAAGGGCGATTCAAGGGCGAGACCCCGTTTCATCAGGTAGTTGGGTACTCACCTCTGTGACCCTGGCTGTAGTTCTCGCCCACTTTGAGGCGACAGACGCTTTTGAGAATCGAGTGAAATCTGTCAAGAAGCCTCCGAGAGCACCTGCGCCGTGTGCGCACAGTTCCGGGGGTGCGCACCCCACTTGCAGCAGTCGCCCGTTGCTCGTTACGCCCTCAGACTGAGGCTCTTGGTTCTGATAGAGTTGGTTGCTTCCACAGGTTCGAGAGATGGCGGCCACCACCTTAAGTGGCCTCTTGCAGTGTGACTTTCTTACCATGGACAGTCCTATGCAGATTCACTTTGAGCAGCTTTGCAAAACAAAGCTACCTAAGAAAAGAAAGAGAGACCCCGGCTCCGTCGGAGACACCATTCCTTCTGCAGGTAACACTGCTGGTGGCACACCTGTGCCCTTTTGGAAATTCAGCAGGCTTACTCAGTATTTAGCTTGTTTGTATATGCCCGGTCTTTGCTGGGTACGACTGTCCGAGGAATAGTTAATCCTGCTTTTGAGGAGTTTGCATATAGAAGCCAGGGCCTGGAATATAAAAGCTAAGAGTGAGATAGGTACACAGGGGCCTATTCATAGAACTATTTTAGTAAGTCAAGTCTGTACCCACCCCGTCGAGCTTTATAAAGACATCCAAAATTAGTTGTTTGGGAGGTCTGAAACACATGCTTTTAGAATTTAAAGCTGTACCTTGGTGTCCTAAGAAAAATGATAACTAACCACAAGAAGCCTTGCTCTTCCTTGAGAAGGCGCTGTTAGGGGGTCGGTCTGGGAACGCGTCGGTTCATGACGCCCTGTGGCGGTCGAAGGGCCGAGCGTAACAGGACCACCGCTGTGTGCTGCAGTCCGTCCTCCCAGAGTGTCGTTCTGCCGTGCTCCATTGTGCCTGACGGTCACTTAGTGCGGGAATAACCACTGCGGCAGCGGCAGGGGAGTTGGGCAGAAGAGGCCTGGTGAGGCTGGGCCACCCAGTCCCGCGGGAAGAGGGATTTGAATGTGACTGCAGATTGCCACTGCTAACTGCGGTTACACGGATACTTTTAAACATACATAGGAGGCCCAGCGTCTGCACATTGTGCTTCTCACGCCTGGGCTGATGGAGGCAGGCTCAAAGCCAGCATGGGCTGCAGAGACAGACCCACTCTGAAAAAGCCAATAAGCAAATAAAAGCAAAACAAATAGGAAAATTAATAAGTCAAAAACATACAGAGTTTGTGGCAGGTAGTTAAGATGTGCAGCTCTAGATTTGCAGTTACACTGCTGTTTAATAGCAATTCCAAGAAAGTACCAGTAGTATGGTTGTATTGCTTGAGAATTGTATTGTTTTAAAATTACTAGAAGTGCCAAAGCATTTTTAGTTTTTTGTATCAAATGGCGTTGTTTATAATTTTCACTACTTCAAAGCTTATTTTACTTACCTTCACCTTCTTACCCTCTGTTTTGTGTGTGTATAGGTAGTACACTTCTGCAGACATTTGTATACATATGGCTTTCTTAAAAATAATGACAACTGAGGACTGGGGGTTTAGCTCACTGGTAGGACACTTTCCTAGAATTTATGGGGACCTGAGTTTGCTCCCTAGCACTACCAAATAAAAAGAATGAGCTTATGAAAGCACTTTAATCTGTACCTTTCTTTAGGAAGAAAAGGAAAAGAGACCCTTGGAGAACAGACCTGTTAGACTTCCGTGTCTTGCCCAGTAGTAACACTGTTGATCCGTGGCATGTCCCCGGATGAGTGGGCGGGCTCTGTGTGGGAGTGATCACATCAGAGAAGCACTGTGTCACTGGAGCGTGGGTTAGGGTCCGAGGTTGCCCTGTAGCATGTGAGTGAGTTGATCCGGAGCACCCTGAGACAGCTTTCTGATCTGGGTGCAGTCAGTGCGGTCACTGAGACAGCTGTAGGATGTCTTGAAATTTTTTTAAGTACAGACTTAATTTTAGTGCAGCCTCAAAAACCATGTTTTTTCTGTATGTACTTACGGAAGCATTTTAAACACAGAAATTCACACTTTGAAAGCAACTTCTTTTCGCTGTAACAAGCACACGAGAGGCCGTAACTGTCCCCGCGCACATTGCTGTCTTGGCAGAGTTGGTGAAACGCCACGCCGGGGTGCTTGGCCTGGGCGCGTGTGTGCTCTCCAGCCCCTACGACGTTCCCACCTGGATGCCGCAGCTCCTCATGAACCTCAGCGCACATCTGAATGACCCCCAGCCTATCGAGGTACAGCTCTTCCTTCTCGCTTCTGTGCACGTATAATCGTGGTAATGTCTTGTAAGAGAGCATTTATAGTCCGCATTTCCTATACGTATGGATTTGATTGCTTTGAGAAAGCTACTGATTCTGCCAGGGCTACGTCTTAATTCTGCAGTAATTATTAACACGTTCCCCGCCGATTTACACCCCCAGTGGGCTCGGACCACTAGGAGTACAAATGGGTCCAGTCATTTTTATCAGTCTTTTTACTAATAAAAATTTGGAAGTCTGTAAATGGACCAAATCCCTGTTATGTGAATTTGAATAATTACTGCCCAAATATAAATATTAAGTGATACTAGTCATACCAATTAAAATTATTACAATAATTCATTTCATTAAATTGACTTATTAATATGACTTTTCAAAAAACATTTTATACATAAAGGCACTGATTTGTGCAGAATGTGCAAAATGTTACAACACTCCATTGCGTATGTAGCCACAACACACCTGTTTTTTCAGGTAATTTTTGGTAACATTCTCTACATTGCTTGTGTGCATTTCTTGCTATTCCTAAATAAAGTTTTATAAAGTGGATTTTTTTGAGTAATTTGTGCTTTTGGTATTTATTCACAGGTTAATAGTTTATCAAGTAATTCTTTAAATTTTAGCATGGGAGTCTTACGAGTACCCCCATGAGTGTGTATAATGTGCATTATAGCTAAGTTACAATTTTTTAAATACTATTTTAATGTTTTCCTTAAGGAACTGCAGTACGATGGCATGTGGTCTGCTAAATCAGTGCCTTTCTTTGCGTTACTGTAATCGTACCGTCTGCCTGGTGGGACAGTCATTCGTGTACCACCGGTGGTTCAAGCCACCCGACGGGACAGTCGGTTCCGATCAGAGTTGCCTGGCAGCAGACGCAGAATTACATGACGATGAACGTCTTGCAGGGGTTGCTGTCACGTGTACATAGCTTCTGTGCTTCCCGGACCAGTGGGAGTAAAGGGTTGTCAGCGTGGTCTGGATAGTGAAATTTTGTGCTTTTGTTTTCTAGCATTTTTGCATCTGAAAAGTAATATTTAATATTAATATTAAATAGGAAATACTGATGATACTAATTTAATAGTGAACACCTGTATTCTAAGTTAAATAGTTGATGCAAGTTTATATTAAAACTGGTCTCCTAATGTATGCGTCGTGGTGGTTTGTCCTAAAGCAGAGCTAGTCTTTCCACAGAAGGTTGGAGTTGGAAAATACGATGGATTTGTTGGTTTTGTAGCATGTGAGATCAGAAGTCTAGATAATCATCAGTTAGCTAAAGGTACCCTGATTGTTCAGAGAGATCTAATTGTATGTGGGTTGCCTGCTCCGCAGATGACTGTAAAAAAGACGTTGTCCAATTTCCGAAGGACACACCATGACAACTGGCAGGAGCACAAACAGCAGTTCACAGACGACCAGCTGCTTGTCCTCACGGACCTTCTCGTGTCACCATGCTATTACGCATAGGAGGGTGAGTCACCAGAGTTGCAGATTTAAAGGTGGGACATCCTCGGGTAAATACCATTCATTTGGTGACTGAAAAGTGGGCATTTAAAAACTTCTGCTGACATTCGCAGCTTTGGCTACTTACATGAAGTTAGGGCTGGTTCCACTTGTTGTTTAACACGGCTTTTGAAGCTGGAGATGCAGCTCTGGTCGTGCGTGCGCTTTACCTGTACGGGGCCCCTGGGTTCAACCCCAGGACCAACACAAACAAACAAACAGGACCTTTGCAGTGGTCATGGCAAATAAATGCCCACAGAATTTCTTCCGTGCCTGTTTGTTTTGCGTATTAAGCAGAGAGTTGATGGGATTGCTTTAAAAGTGAGTCGTGTTACTAGCCTCGGAATAACTTTCCTGGGTGGGGTCTGGGCATCCAAGGTTGCCCTAGGCACTCGTAGTTGTAAGAACATTTATCTGCTTCCTGACGTACTTATTACCCATTCCTCAAAAAGGCCCAGAAGCCTTCTACTGGGACAGGAGTGATTAAAAAAATCCTTGCTTTTTAGGTTTTTAGAGCTGAGTGTCTGGTTACTAAATAGTGTTCTCCCTGGTGCAGATGGCGGGTCCTCAGTCGTGGCTCTTCGCGTCACAGATCCCAGCTCCTCAGGTACCATCTGCGGCGGCTCTGCAGGTGTTCGAACTCTGCCCCTTCGGAGCTCTCATCGATTCGGTGGCTTCTGCGTTCGGTCTCACTGGTCGCGTTCCACAGGTTCTCAGCTGCCATTTGATTTCTGAACTTCCAGAAGTGTGTCCAGAATATTGATCACTTTTTCTTTGAAGCATCTGACAAAGTCTCAGAGTAGAAATAAATTTCCCAGTACGATCATGCCATCCAAGACCAGCAAAAGTCTAGGAAGTCATTAAGAAACAGTTTTCTTAGAGTGGAGAAATCCCACCCGCCATACAGGTCCTGTCATTTCATCCATCTCAGATTACTTTGATTTCTTCCCAAATGACTGTTGGGTTTAGATGGTGGAAGGGCAGCGGGCCGCAAACCTGAAGGCTGGAGAGCTGTGAAGAGGAGGGAAGGGAGGAGGCCGGCCTCGGATCTGCCCAGCAACCGGGGACGCCCGGCCGCTCCCGCAGGGGCGTCTGTGCCCTGCTGACCGGGGCTTCTGGTGCTGAAGAGAGCCAGCTGCTGAAGAACCGGGGTTTGGTGAATTAATTTTTGATTGTTGTGTGTGTATACAACTTGTGATTTATTTGAGAATAAATGATAACAACAAACACCCTGACTGATTGGTTTTTACCCGTATTCTTTACAGAATTGTTGTTAAATGTTACACTTCACCAAAAGGAAAAACTGTATCTGTGGAAATTCTGTAATTTTTTTCTTTTTCTTTGTTTTTTTCTTTTTCAAATTTTTGCCTGCAGAATCGTTGAGAAACTACTAAGGCTTGGTATTTAATTGACTTGTTTAATATGTTACATAGATGTAAAAGATTGTATAAACTGTAGAAGTAGCAATGGCAAGACTTTGTACAGATGCAGCGCCTTACACAGCACCACTGTGTAATTAATTTGTAAAGATTCATCTGTAGCTCTTTACTATAGTGATCTGGGGCTTTTACACCCATTGAATGCCATTTTTGTGTTTTTAAATTATTTTCTTTATCATTTCATGTTATAAAAGCTAAAACGTGGGATTTTTTAGTTCCTCTATCATTAGTGTCCGAATTTCTGTGCGAGTTTGTGTGTGCATCGCTGACCGCTAGCACGTTCGCCCGTGACAGGTCCGTAGAGTGCCAGGTCATCTGCTAGAGGAATAACGTACGAGTCGGCAGGTACCGTCCCACGGCAGGCCCTGTGCGTCTCCCCTGCAGGAGCACTGGTGACCTAGCGTCTGCTGCGGGCGGCCTGTCCAGGCACGGCAGCGGGCCCGGCGGCGTTTGAGTGTCGGCACACGCAGGCGAATCCCTGTATAGAGTAGTGCCAAAATGATTCTTTCAATTGTGTAACTGGTTTAAAACTCAATAAAGGGATTGTTTTTAACACCTGGCTGTTGTCTTCCTTAGGAGGAGAAGACAGTTCTGCAGGGCAGAGACTCCTGTGGATTCTTTATGCGGTTTTAGGTTTGAATCTATAAATCATTCTTTCTGACCAAAACATTATTTAGATCTGCCCTATTCGGTACAGTAGCCGCCAGCCAAGTGACTGTTAACTTTTTGGCCTTTTTGAGACAGGTTCTTGCTCTGTAGTTCAAGCGGGCCTTGAGCTCTCTTTATAGCCCAGGCTGGATGTCGGTCTTCCTGCCTCAGCCTCCTGAGTGCTGGGATTACAGTTGTGCACCACCACCCCCAGTGTGGCTGTTGACGCTGAGTTAGAAGTTTGTGTTGTCGGTCTGACTGGGCCGAGTGCTGTGCCGCACGTGCCGAGTCTCACACACACTGCTTTTGGACAAGGCTGCCCAAGGCGCGTTTTCAGGGGGTGCACCCGAGTCACGCAGGGGTGTGGACGCGTCAGTTCCGCAGTGTTTCCCGCTCACGCTGTCTGCTGCTCAGACCCGTGTTTGTGAGTGGCGAGGCCCCACACTGCGTGATTCGTACCTTCAGCTTCCCCGTGAAACGCCGCGCGGGACTCACCGCCGCGAAGCGCGTCCGGCGCCGGCCCCTCGCGTGTGCCTCGGGCTTCCGCTCGGGCTGGCGCTCTGCAGTGTGCAGTCCGGGCCGGGGCCTCAGGCGGACGGGCAAGGCCTCGGCTTGGAGCGGCCGCCGTGCTGTGGCGGGCGGCGCGGGGTCGTTTCTGTCGTGGGATTTTCACCGCGGACCCCACGCGGCGCTCACAGGTCTCGCTCCTGCGGGCGGTTTCTAGGACCCGAGGTTCCGACTGCTAGCAGCGTGTTGGAGGTTTTGCCGCTGCGCAGAGCTTCTTGCTTTTTTTCCCGCTGCCGGAATCGAACTCAGGGCCTCGCGCTTGCGGGGCCGCGCCGCGCGCTGAGCCCCAGCCGGCCCTGGCCGCGGAG